CGATAAATCGAACCCAGAAGTTCGATTGCCTGCCGCCGAACCAGCGCGGTAAGTATAGACAAGCCCCAAGCTTTCTTTCTTGAGTGGCAACAGCTAATTTAGAACCAAATAATTGTATATGTGTAGTTGAGATTTTCCCCCAGCATGCATTACTTGGCACTTAATCTAGAATTTCATGTGCTATTGTGTTGTCCAGTTACCCACTATTGTGATAGCCCTTTGCAACTCTTCACAGTCAGCTTTGGATTTAACTACCTTGAATAATTTTTCATCATTTACAAACTTTGTTGCATCACTGTTCTCTCCCTTTTCCAGGTCACTAATGAATATGCTGAACAGCGCAGGTTCCAGTACAGATCCTTGGGGGACCTTGCTGTTTACCTCTTTTCATTTGTAAAACTGACCATTTATTCCTACTCTTTGTTTCCCCATCTTTTAACCAGTACAAGAGGCCCTTTCCTGTTAGGCCATAGCTACTTAGTTTTCTTAGGAGCCTTTGGTGAGAGACCTTTCTGAAGGCTTTCTGAAATCCACGTACCATATATCAACTTGATCACCTTTCCCACATGCTTGTTGACACACTCAAAGAATTCTAGTAGACTGGGGAGGTGTGACTTACAAAAGCCACGTTGACTCTTCCCAACAAATCATGTTTATCTCTGTGTCTGATAGTTATTTACTATAGTGTCTACCAATTTGCACAGTACTGAAGTTAGGTTTACCAGCCTGCAACTGCCAGAATCACCTCTGGAGCCCTTTTTAAAAACAGGTGCTACACTCGCTACCTTCCAGTCATCAGGTACAGAGGCTTATTTCCAGCAAAAGGTTTCATGCTGCAGTTAGTAGTTCTGCAATTTCATTTGAGTTCCTTCAGAACTCTGGGTGAACACCATCTGATCCTGGTGATTTATTACTGTTCAATTTATCAGTTTGTTCTAAAACATCTTCTACGGATATCGATGAGGGACAGTACTTCAGATGTGTCACCCAAAAAAGATAACTCTGATGTGGATCTCTCACCCACATCCAGGGGCAACAGGTTTGTAGAAATTTTGGTGGTGCCCAGAGCCCTCTGCCCCCCGCACCTGCCTAAGGCGCTGGGAGGGAGTTTGGGTGGAGGGAGGAGGTCTGGGGTGCAGGCCCTGGGCTGGGACAAGGGACTGGGGTGCAAAGCCCTGGGCTGGGACAAGGGACTGGGAGGAAGTTTGGGTGCAGAAGGGGTGAGGTTGGGCTCTGGGAAGGGGGTGGGGAAGGGGGTCTGGGATGCAGGGGGTAGGGGTGCAGGAGGAGGGATTGAGGGGTGCAGTGCATGGGTTGGGTGTGCAGGCTCTGGGAGGGAACTTGGGACGGGAGGGGGTGCAGGCTCTGTGAGGGAATTTGGGGGCAGAAGTGTGTGTGTGTGGGTGGGGGGGGTGCAGGCTCTGGGAGGGGGTGTGGGTGGTGCAGCGCTTATCTGGGGCTCCCAGGCGGGGTGGGCCAGGTGGCCTCCGCATGCTGATACCCCCAGGCACTGTCCCGACAGCTTCCTATTGGCCGCAGGGGCGCTTGGGGCGGGAGCAGCAGGTATGGACACAAACCCAACCCACCCCGCCCAGGGGCTGCCAGCCACATGGAGCAAGCAGGCAGGAAGCCGCCCAGGTTTGCTGCGCTGCCAGTGGTGGGTGGGGGCCCTGGGCCATTTTTAAATCACCCGGGGACGCACGGGGGGGGGGGGGGGGGGGGGGG